GGGGGCGGGGGGCGGGGGGCAGCTGCTGCTTCCTCCGAACGGAGCAGGCTGTCCAGGCTGTCCTTAACCGTAGCGAACGTGTGATTAGCATTTGCTCCGTCTTACAACACAGAATTAAGAGCAAAGCAAATGAAATACCACCACTGCTTCAGAGGGAAGCAGAGACCACAGAATGCTGCGGTGAAATTAAAAAAGGGAAAGGAATCCCAATTTTAGAAATAATTTCCTCTTGATGCTCTGATTTGCCTTTAAGAACACCAGTTAAATGGATTTTATAATACAGAGACATGTTTATAATAGCGAAGAATCTTAGCTATAAAAAATAGTTTAAAATGGTTTACCAGCAACCTATCCAAGACAAGTACATTCATTAAAAAGGCAATTGAGTGTATTTGGTGCTAAGGATTTTTTTTTTTTTTTTTTAATATATCCGCTAGTTTTCTTCAGGAAAAGGAGATACTGTCAGAAAGTTGCATATTCATTAATCCACACTGGCCCCAGAGTACCTTAAAGATGTACACATCTGAAGTTCTGGGTGGTCTGACAAACAGGGTGAAATCATGTTTTCTTGAGAGGAAGGGTTAAAAAGCCTCGTCTAACTCATCTGAACCCAAACGTGCTGACGGGGAAGGGGAATTTTTAAAAGCCACCCCCAACGAGCTGGCTGTCTGTGGCAGAAGCAGGAGGGTCTGGCCTGCCGGGCACCATTTCAAAGGGCTGTCTTTCCGTCCAGCGTCAGCACTACGTGGTGGGCCGGGTGCCTCCTCTCTGCCCGATGCCGCCGGCTTCAGCTTCAAGTGCTAACGTGAACAGTTAGAGAGTTCAGGTGCAGACGGGTGCTGGCCAGAGCTGGGAGTTTAGCAGCACTGTGGAAACGCGGGTAGTGCCAGGACCCTCCCGTTTGGTGAGCACAATGACACAGGATCAGCCACCTCCTGAGCTTCAGATCAGTCTGTCGGGAAGGGGGCCTTAAGTCTTGTAAACAATGCTCTGACGCTTGTACAAAATACTGCGGTTACAGTGATTAAAAACCCACCCAGACTGGTGTGTTAGTGTTCTTTTCACAGAAAAAGTGTCATCGCATGGAGATCCATCTGCCGGATTTCCACCTAGGACCACGGGATCCGAGGGTTGGAGATGGACGGCCGGATGCTGCCCTTGGGAGCTGGCTTGGACCCAAACCACGACATCTGCGATGGAAGCAGAGAGGGCTTCTGAGTATCGGGACTAGGTGCAGAGGAAGCTGAAAGCGCCCCCTCCCTGTCCCGCAAGCACCCAGCGAAGATGCTGGACGTGGCAACCCGTCTACGGGGCCCCGAGCCCATTCTAAGTATGGGAGGGAAGCAGGAGGAAACAGAGTTGACAAGAACAAGGTAGTGGAATTGTACCTAATTCTTCCAGAAAATATTTTTTTGTTCTATCAATTCTGAATATTTTATTTTTTAGTTTTTAAACTTTTTTGGTGTTTATTATTTGTTGTTTGAGAGAGACAGAGTAAGAGCAGGGGTGGGGGGCAGAGAGAGGGAGACACAGACTCCGAAGCAGGCTCCAGGCTCTGAGCTGTCAGCACAGAGCCCGACATGGTGCTCAAACCCACAAACCGTGAGACCATGACCCGAGCTGAAGTTGGACACTCAACCGACTGAGCCACCCAGGTTTCTTTCTTCTCTTTTTCTTCCTCCCTCCCTCCCTCCCTCCCTTCCTTTCTTTTTTCTTTCTTTCTTTTTCTTTCTCTTTCTCTCTTTGAGAGAGAGCGAGCGAGCATGCGAGCGAGTGTGCACAGTGAAGGAGGGGCAGAGAGAAGGAGAGACGGAATCCCAAGCAGGCTCCACGCTGTCAGTGCAGAGCCTGATGTGGGGCTCGAACTCACGAACTGTGAGGTCATGACCTGAGCCAAGATCAAGAGTCGGACACTTAACCGACTGTGCCACCCAGGCGCCCCTGAATATTTTATTTAAAAAAAAAATCTGGACGTTGGGCCAGACCTGGGGCTGTTGACGTTAATGGCATCAGTGAAAGCGCGGTGGAAACATAAGGCCTGTCGGTGGGTACCGCGCAGACACGTGTGCACAAAGCACGTCCTCAGTAAACACGGCCCAACAGGAGTCCACTATCCCGTAGCACTTTCTCGGCGGATGATGCAGCTGTGGACGGGCTCACCCGCCAGTGCTGGGATTACTAGCTGGTTCCTAAGAACCAGACAGCAGGCCAGGGAACCCTACCTTATACTCCAGGGTTTCTTTGAGCATGTTCTCTTCCTCTTGTGAGAAGTTCAGCAACACTGACACAGCTTTTATAAGGTGAAAAGCCTGAAACAAAGTTGAGTTTCGTTGCCATGGGCCCTGGGGTGGTGGACGGTGGGGGAGGATCAGGGGGCTTAACTGGAGCACTCCCTGGGTCTCTTCCCGGTGTGTGCTCCCCACGGGTTAGCAAGGACCACGTGGAGGGGGACGTTGGGCTTCCTCGGGTCTGACGACAACGACAGACTTTTCTCCCCTCCATCTTTCCCTCTGGGAACCGGCAAGATCCCCAGGACATCCACGGCAGCCACCCTGCCCTTCAGCAGGATGCGGGAGTGCGGGGCAGACCGTTCCCAGACTGCAGCCTCAGCCTCCAACCCGCGCGGCCTCCCCGGAGCGGACTCCCTTCTTGGCCCCCACCTGCCGGCTGCACCGTCAGCAGGTCAGTGCCTGCTGGAGAAATAACCGTTACGTGTCCACACTGGTGGCCAAATGGGAACGCGGGAGAGGAAGAAAGCAATGTACTTGGTGGGAAGCCACACGAGGCTTGGACAAAGGAACCAGACGCTTAGGACCCAAAAGGCAACTCAGAAACCCTTTACCTCAGACTCTCGACAGGACATGAATTTTAAAACCACGTGTTTAAGGTACTCAAAGTTGATCTCGCGGGCATCAGTCAGGTCAGCATTATTCGTGACGGAAGGAGCCATGTTGGGCATCTCGGGGCCAGGCTTCTCTCGGACCTCAAAGAGCTCACTGTCGGGTCTGATTTTCTAAAAACCCAACGGAAAGATGCTGTGCCAAACCCCTCAAGACAGGTCTGAAAATCACCCGGAGAGTCACCCGGCTTGAGCTGCGCTCACCCGCCATTCCTTGACCTCACCTGCACCACAGTAGGGTGAAAGGGCCCCCGCTGGGAAGGAAGTGCCTGAAGAAGGCTCAGCCACCCCCCCCTCCCCCCCCGGCAGACGGGGCGGCCTGAGAGGAAGGAGGGGGTTGTCTAGGGAAGTTTGGACGATCCCTGTCCCGCTGTCAGGATGTCTGTGGGGCAGCGAGCACCCCAAACTGGGCAGAGGTACCGCTCTCCTGTCTGGGCCTGGCGCTCTGCTGCTCACCTGGCGCACAGGTCGCTGACTTCTCAGCCCACAGAAGGGCTTGGAGAAGAACCTCACGTGCCCCGAGTCACATAGTTACTTTTCAGAGACAGGTTCGAGCTGGCAGGGCTACCGTCCCACCAGCCAACATCTGGCTTCCCAGAGACCTCACAATCAACCGGTGGGGGGAGAGCATTGTCAAGCGGCGAGGGAACCCGGGAGGGCCAGAGAGCCAGGAAGGGCACAGGCAGTGGGGAGAAGAGGGGAACTTACCAGTTCCTTCTGGAGAGTCTTTTTGAGTTCCAGCATCCTCTGCTGCATCTGCTTTATGGTCTGAGACAAACCCCGCCCCCCGCAAAAAGCCATCTGTTACATGCACATTCCACCATCTTTAAGGTGCCAAGGACAACAGAACAGCCAGCCACCCCCTTGGGACCCTATACACCTGTTATAAGACACTGTCCCGTCTCCTGAGGGGCTCGTGTTGTCACACCTGTGTGCCTCCCGCCCGGGGCCCTCTTCCCTCCTTCTCGCTGCTCTGCACGCACATGCTCTCCAGGCCCCACAAGGGCCACTGAAGCCGTCACATACCCTCTGCGGAGCGCTCGTGCCCCAGGGCTGCCCCGGCCTCCCCACGGGCTCAGCCCTCAGGACCGCTTCAGGTGCCTGCGTCTGGAAACACCTCTGTACGGTAGACTTGTCCTTCAGAATGAGATTTACGTGCTATGATCCCTCACCACCGCTCCGGAAATACCATTTTCAATGCTTATTTGGAACAGTGTAAACGGTCATGGTTTTTCTGTACTTCTCTATTTTATTTTATTTTTAGTTTAATTAGTATTGAGCTTTAAGTGTAATTTATTACACACTCCGTTAATCACTAAAAAGGCTAACCTCTGTTTTCCCAATGAAAAAATTTACTGTATAATGAGCAATACAGGAAAAAACATTAAACATTTCTCCAAAGTCTCACAAACTTAGTCTTTCCTGTGACCTTCAGGTCTGAGTCACTGATCTTGCACCGAGTAGCTGGAATTGTGAATAGTGTGTGTTTTTCATTTATCACAGTTTTCATAGCTTTCCACGGTTTCCCTAACTTCTTTTTTTTTTAAGTAGGCTCTATGCCCAACGTGGGGCTTGAACTCATGACCCCGAGAGCAAGAGTCGTGTGCACCACCTACTGAGTCAACTAGGTGCCCCCTTAATTTTAACTTCTAATGTGACAGTAACTCGAGGGGATGGCCCATGCCTTAGAGCGGCGCTGAGCCTCCATTTTTGAACACGGCAGTAATAGCAGCTTCCCTTTCTCCCACGTGTGTCCAGTCTCTCCGCAGGACTGAGATGGCTCTGCCACAGACCCAGCTCCCGTCAAGCACATTAAATGGCCTCCAACACATCCCATTTTATAAATGATAATGTGTTGTTTCAATCTGTATTCTCTTGGCTGACCACGAGGCTGGCATTCACCCAAAAGTACATTTGCTATTTTATGTATTTTAAATTTTACCTGATTTTCTAGGATTTTGGTTCACTGATTAACTCATCTAACAAGTACTGATTAAATCCCTACTACAGGCAGACGCTGTCCTAGAGGCTGGGGAAAAGCAAGAAGCAAAAGAAGAAAAATGCTCAGGGGCACGTGGGTGGTTCAGTTGGTTAAGCATCCAACTCTTAATCTCTGCTCAGGTCATGATCTCACGGTTGTGAGATCGAGTCCCGCGTCAGACTCCGCAATGAGCACAGAGCCCGCTTGGATTCTCTCTCCCCCTCTCTCTCTACCCCTCCCCTGTGTGCTTGTTCTCTTTGTCTCTTGCTTTCTCTCAAAATAAATAAACATTAAGTTTAATTTTTTTTAATGTTTACTTCTATTTGAGAGAGACAGAGCATGAGCGGGGGAGGGGCAGAGAGAGGTGGAAACAGAATCCAAGGGGGCTCCAGGCTCTGAGCTGTCAGCACAGAGCCCGATGAGGGGCTCGAACTCACGGACCGTGAGATCATGACCCGAGCCGAAGTCGGACGCTCAACCGACTGAGCCACCCAGGCACCCCAACAAATAAACATTTAAAAAAAAAAAAAAGAAAGAAAAAAATGAAAAATATCTGCTCTCAGGAGGAGAAAATGTCAGTGACCGTACATTACATAAGAAGGCATTAAGAGGCCTGGTAAGGGGACAGGACGTTCTGGTGGTGATGGTGAGGGCTGCCAAGCATAGTGGGGAGGGGGGGTGGGGAGGTGGAGGGGGGCCCTCCTTAACAAAATGACATCACAAAGGAAGTGAGGGGGTTATAGGAAGGATATTCCAGACAGAAGGCTCAGCAAGTACAAAGGTCCTGCGGCGGGAGGGTGCTTGACAGTCACAGAAAGGCAAGGCCAATGTGGCTAAGAGGGGGTGCAGTACAAAGGGTACTAAGGGGCCAAACCACACAGGGCTTTGTGGGCCACTGCAAGGATGTGGCTTATATTTACAGAGACAGGGGAAGTCATCAGAGGGCTGGTACAGAGGTGGTGACAGGGAAACCATTAGAAGCCCAACACCAGCCTACAGGGAAGAATGGTAACCCCACCTATGGTGGCAGCAGTGGTGGGGATGAGGTGCAGCCCATTTGGGGTATAGTTTGAAGGGAGAGCCAGAAGGATTTGTTAATGGTTTGGATGTTGCTTGTGTAAGAAACCAGGGCGTTGAGAATGATACTAAGATTTTTACTTTTTACGTTTACTGAGACAAGAGCAGCCCCCATTAGGCAGCATGGTGAATGTGAAGTTGGGTTTTGGACAGTTTACGCAGATGCCTTGTAGACACTGCCACGGAGACAGACACAATCTAAAGCTCCAGGGAGCCGTCTGGCCTTGAGATAAGGATGTGGGCGCCCAAAGTGGGCAGTAGAGGCAGGACTCTGAGGGAGTGAATGCCACTTGGAGAGGAGGTCTGAGGGCTGGGTCCTGGGCACAGGGAGTTTGTGCGCTTTTCTGTAGTTTACATTTCACAGTAAGATTAAATGCTCGTGTGTAAGCGAGAATGAGCATTTTTTCCTTTTGTTATAGATCTAAAAAAATACACACCCACAATCACACTTTGGAGGCCAGAGCAGTGACCAGCCAGCACCCTTAACTTCCCAGCGCACTTGGAAACCAGGATCAAAGGAGACCCTGCACTTGCAGGTGCAGGGGCCTGAGGAGTGGGTGGAATCGGGACATTTATTAAGCCTCTACCAGATACGCGAGATTTCACAGGACAGCTAACAAACTTTCATTTCATACCCCAATGCCCTCCCCTGCCAGTAAAACCGCTAGAAGACAGGCATCACTGGGTCATTTCACAGCCATAGAAAGGAAGTGAGAGGTAAGGTGATGGGTCCAATATGACCCAGCTGGTGACAGCAGCACCTGTGACATCTGGCCTCACTACTGCCTGAGCGCAAATACTCTGGACATTATCTCAAGCGTGGGGGAGGTGTGACAGGAAGACTGCCCAGGTGGAAGTCCAGGAAGAAGCCCTTCTGGTGAAGAGGTAAGATCTCTCCCAAGAGGGGCCCGGGGGCATCAGCCAAACTCTCGGACAAGGGACTGAACGGTTTTAGGCCCAGAACGGGGAGAGGGCGGGGAGATCAACAGCTGAGGTAAAGCGCACTCTCACCTTGTTTTTCTCCACGAGTTGCTGCTCCAAGTCCTGTTTTTCCTTCTGCAGCTGCCCTAGGTCCACAGCCCCCACCTCACCATTTGGGATTCCCTCTGCAGCCGGAAGCTGGTACGCGGGGTCCTGCGTGGCCCTCGAGGCCGCCTACAGGACGGACAAGGCAATGGTCAAGCTGAGCCACAGGTCCGTGGGGAAAGGCGCCCAGACTGGTTCCAAAGGTGCGGGCTGATGTGCCGGAACAGGCAGCTAGCTGGCCAGGAACCAAACCTGGGCTGTAGAGATCCTGTCCAGCGCCTTCCAGGGGGACAGGCAGCTTTCCGTGCAGCGAGCGTGCTTGGAAGGAAAGGGCTCTACTGAACACGGACACGTGGCGCCACATCCGACGGGCTCCTCGATACCCACGAGCTCCTAGTCAGGTAGGCACCCCTACTTTAAAGAAAGGGAGGTGACCTGCCCAACATCCCGCAGCTAGGGAGCGCCAGCTCTCCTCCCCTCTTCTCACCGCCTCCTACTGGCAAACTACGGCAGGCA